CACAGAAAGGCGACTACCCCAGAGTCCTGACTGGCTTCATGGGGAGCAGTTCCAGAGCATCGCCCAGGGACTCCGTGACAACTGGTGGCAGCGGTGGGATGTACTGCACCCCGTGGATGGCGCTTCCTGCAGTAAGTGACTGGGGAGCAGTAACACGAAGGGGGATTGCCGAGGACCAGGCCTGCTGAAGGCTCAGAAAGGAGCGGTTTCGGGAGCGGTTAACCCCTGGGAGTGTGTGACCAGCGAGAGGGACTGTGCAGTAATGGGGTCCCCCTGGGGACTGCAGTGAGCAGTCTCAGGGGTGGAGGAGTCTGCCGCTCGACCCTGGCAAAGAGGTGGTGACCTGGAGAAGGGCTGGCACACTAGGGGTTCTCCCTGGAAACCGTGGGGAGCTGAGAACACACGGACCTGTGAGTCCACAACAGCTTGGGAGGAGCGGAGTGACGGCCTGTCACCGTCTCCTTAAGAAGGACATTGTAACCCTGTGCAAAAAGAGAGGGTTGAGCTTTGGAAAGTTCACCAAAGCAGAGTTAATCGTGCAGCTGGAGGAGGATGACCGCTCTAAGGAACAGATTCCTGACCCCAACTGGGGCTATAGCAGGATCTGGGAGCAGCTGGAGTGGGAGCCAGGCATCGCCAAGACTCCTGTCCCCGACCAGACGAGGGTCTTCACGATCGGGTTCCCCATCGGGGGATCGAGACGGACGGGATTGGAGCTGAGTCCGAGAGAGCAAGAGGACTGTGAGAGACAGCGAGAGCCCGAGAAAGAGCTGCAGAAGCAGCAGCAGCATGAACTGGCGTTGGGGGAGCGGAGAGGCCTAGGGGACCTCCCCGGGGTGAGTGGGGATAGACCCCGGGGTGCCAGTTCCGCAGGGAACCTCGAGACTAAATTGCTGCCCCTGGTTAAGGATGGGGGGGAGGTGGATGCCCACCTCACTGCCTTTGAGCAGGCTGGAGATTTGAACTAGGGGGACCCTGCGGAAAAGCCCCGGTGTCTAGCTCCCTTGCTGGGTCCCAAGGCCATAGACTCCGTCGGCCAGATGGTTGGGGATGTGGACAGGCTCCCACTCCTGACCCCAACCTATATGTCGGTGTGGAGTTTCCTGGGGCCAGGCCCCTCGGACCCCCAGTGGGAGCGGAAGGTGATGGTCAATGGGGAGACATTCTTGGGGTGGCTAAAGGGCATGGGCTGCATAAACCTTCCCACATGCGGCCTGCGAGTGCTATCGACCACCCCTGACCTAAGGGAGGGCGTGAAACCGGAAGGGCCTGGTGTAACTCCTACCAAGGAATGGGAGAGATGCTGGGGCATCCATGGGAACGTTGGTGGCTTCGAACTTCCCCAGGTCACCGGCTAAAGTGACCCCGCTCAGTTCGATCTCGAAGGGGGGAGAGATGTGACGAAGTGGGACTGTTCTTAATGTTTCCTCTGAATAGTGTGGGGGTGCCTCAGTTTCCCCTAGGCAGTTCTTAAGTATCTAGGGGGTGGGGTAAGGGTGTATGATCATTGCAGAGCCCTAGAGGGCAGGTGTGTGCAGGGGTCTGGACACAGAGAATGGCCGACACCCTGTTTCCTGGCAACTAATGGCCTGGGCCCTTCCCCCCCTGCAAGGTGAGAGCTAAAGGGTTGGAGAACAAAGGAATCAGGTGACCTCCTGGCCCGGGAAAGGAACAAAGCCCAGAGGAGGAGGGGCTGGAGGGGGTTTTCAGTTTGGGGCTGGCTGGGACATGGAGTGAAGGGCAGACGTGGTTGTCTGGCTCACTGCCCCCCAAAATGGACCCAGCTGAGGGGTCCCGTTCTCTGCACCTGCAAGCTCTGTTTTAGACCATGTTCCTGTCGTCTAATAAACCTTCTGTTTTACTGGCTGGCTGAGAGTCACGTCTGACTGCGAAGTTGGGGGGCAGGACCCTCTGGCTTCCCCAGGAGCCCCGCCTGAGCGGACTCGCTGGGGGAAGCGCACGGAGGGGCAGAGGATGCTGAATGCTCCGAGGTCAGACCCAGGAAGGTGGAAGCTGTGTGAGCTGTGTGTCCTGCAGACAGGCTGCTCCCAGAAAGGCGACTGCCCCAGAGTCCTGACTGGCTTCATGGGGAGCAGTTCCAGAGCATCGCCCAGGGACTCCGTGACAACTGGTGGCAGCGGTGGGATGTACTGCACCCCGTGGATGGCGCTTCCTGCAGTAAGTGACTGGGGAGCAGTAACACGAAGGGGGATTGCCGAGGACCAGGCCTGCTGAAGGCTCAGAAAGGAGCGGTTTCGGGGGGCGGTTAACCCCTGGGAGTGTGTGACCAGCGAGAAGGACTGTGCAGTAACAGGGTTCCCCTGGGGATTGCAGCGAGCAGTCCAAGGGGCGGAGGAGTCTGCAGCTCGACCCTGGCAAAGAGGTGGTGACCTCGAGAAGGGCTGGCACACTAGGGGTTCTCCCTGGAAACCGTGGGGAGCTGAGAACACACGGGCCTGTGAGTCCACAACAACTTGGGAGGAGTGGAGTGATGGCCTGTCACCGTCTCCTTAAGAAGGACATTGTAACCCTGTGCAGAAAGAGAGGGTTGAGCATTGGAAAGTTCACCAAAGCAGAGTTAATCGTGCAGCTGGAGGAGGATGACCGCTCTAAGGAACAGATTCCTGACCCCAACTGGGGCTACAGCAGGATCTGGGAGCAGCTGAAGCGGGAGCCAGGCACCCCCAAGACTCCTGTCCCCGACCAGACGAGGGTCTTCACGATCGGGTTCCCCATCGGGGGATTGGAGAGGGACGGGATTGGAGCTGAGTCTGAGAGAGCAAGAGGACCCTGGGAGACAGCGAGAGCCCGAGAAAGAGCTGCAGAAGCAGCAGCAGGATGAACTGGCGGTGGGGGAGCGGAGAGGCCTAGGGGACCTCCCCGGGGTGAGTGGGGATAGATCCCGGGGGGCCAGTTCCGCAGGGAACCTCGAGACTAAATTGCTGCCCCTGGTTAAGGAGGGGGTGTGTGTGGATGCCCACCTCACTGCCTTTGAGCAGGCTGGCGATTTGAACCAGGGGGACCCTGCGGAAAAGCCCCGGTGTCTAGCTCCCTTGCTGGGTCCCAAGGCCATAGACTCCGTCAGCCAGATGGGTGGGGAGGTGGACAGGCTCCCACTCCTGACCCCAACCTATATGTCTGTGTGGAGTTTCCTGGGGCCAGGCCCCCCGGACCTCCAGTGGGAGCAGAAGGTGATGGTCAATGGGGAGACATTCTTGGGGTGGCCAAAGGGCATGGGCTGCATAAACCTTCCCACATGCGGCCTGCGAGTGCTATCGACCACCCCTGACCTAAGGGAGGGCGTGAAACTGGAAGGGCCTGGTGTAACTCCTACCAAGGAATGGGAGAGATGCTGGGGCATCCATGGGAACGGCTTCGAACTTCCCCAGGTCACCGGCTAAAGTGACCCCGCTCAGTTCGATCTCGAAGGGGGAGAGATGTGACGAAGTGGGACTGTTCTTAATGTTTCCTCTGAATAGTGTGGGGGTGCCTCAGTTTCCCCTAGGCAGTTCTTAAGTATCTAGGGGGTGGGGTAAGGGTGTATGATCATTGCAGAGCCCTAGAGGGCAGGTGTGTGCAGGGGTCTGGACACAGAGAATGGCCGACACCCTGTTTCCTGGCAACTAATGGCCTGGGCCCTTCCCCCCTGCAAGGTGAGAGCTAAAGGGTTGGAGAACAAAGGAATCAGGTGACCTTCTGGCCCGGGAAAGGAACAAAGCCCAGAGGAGGAGGGGCTGGAGAGGGTTTTCAGTTTGGGGCTGGCTGGGACATGGAGTGAAGGGCAGACGTGGTTGTCTGGCTCACTGCCCCCCCAAAATGGACCCAGCTGAGGGGTCCCGTTCTCTGCACCTGCAAGCTCTGTTTTAGACCATGTTCCTGTCGTCTAATAAACCTTCTGTTTTACTGGCTGGCTGAGAGTCACGTCTGACTGCGAAGTTGGGGTGCAGGACCCTCTGGCTTCCCCAGGAGCCCCGCCTGAGCGGACTCGCTGGGGGGGAAGCACACGGAGAGGCAGAGGATGCTGAATGCTCCGAGGTCAGACCCAGGAAGGTGGAAGCTGTGTGAGCTGTGTGTCCTGCAGACAGGCTGCTCCCAGAAAGGCGACTGCCCCAGAGTCCTGCGTGGCTTCATGGGGAGCAGTTCCAGAGCATCGCCCAGGGACTCCGTGACACAGGGTGACTGAGTTTCATGAGCACAATGGTCCCTCCTGGCCTTAAACTCCGAATCGATGAACCCCTGGGAGAGGCGGGAAGCAAAGGGAACAGACAGAGCACAAGTCACCCTGGCTCCTGGCGCACTCCATGCTCTGTGCATGGTGCTGGCACCCACCGCCCTGGCTCCGCGTGGGCCCAGGGATGTTCCCCTCGGACCAGGCCAACGGGCGCACGAGGGAATGAGCGACTGGTGAGGAAGAGCCACCTCTGTAGCCAACTCCCGTTCACTCCCCCCGCCAGGACTCAGCCAGTGACAGGGCCACTCCCCACGGCCTGAAATGCCCCCTGTATTCCTCAATAACCTACCCCTGGGGAGGGCTTCTCCACCCCACACTGCCATGCCATCCAACTCTCCCGTCCCCATGCCCAGCCAGCTGGACTTGCCGCTGCCCAGGGAACAGCAGGCAACACAGGACGGTGGCTGCAAAAAGGAAGCAGCTGGTGGGAAGATGTGGTCAGGGCTAACGGGTGAATCCAGCGGCCAGTAGAAAATATCACACACCTGAGCCCTAGCTCCTTGCTGAATGGCAGAGCGTTTCCTCGCCCCCAGGGCGATCTATCCAACTCCAGTTCATTCCTGCAGGGGTGGTGGGAGCCCCAGCCCCGGGGGAGGTTTGGCTCCGGCTGCTGGGCATTGCTCTGCTTTGTCGCTCGGCTCTAAGGCAGGTCCCAGCTGGAGCCTTGACTGTCCCAAAAAAGCAGCAGGCTGGATCCAGCCCAACGCATGTCCCCCAGAGGGGGAAGGAGGGGCTCCTCGCAGAGTCACATACATGTGCACACAGTTGCTCAGACAAACATGTTTATTGTAAAGCAAGAGGGAGGCGGACAAATCCCAGTGCAGCCGCGTGTGGCGGCAACGGGGTGCCGGTCGCTGGCTCCCGGGTGCGGCTTGGAGCACGCTGCCAGCCTCTGCGGGGCTCACGGAGAGAATGAAGCAGGCTGCGCCCACCGCAGCCCAGGCAGCTAGAGCTGCTTGGCCTGTGGGCCGCCCCGGCCTGGGAAGAGACCCGCAGAAGAGGAGACAAGGAAGAACGAAGCGAGAATAACCGCTGGGTAGCCTCCAGGCTGAGGGAGAGGAGCTACAGGTACTGACCCAACCGGGCCTAAAGGAGAGGGGAGCCGGCCAGCAGAACACACAGGCTGGGCTCCTTTAAACAGGCAGAGGAACTGACTTAACCCAGGAGTAGGAGACCCAGCTGTGATGGCGAGGGGGCCCAGGGGCTATTCTAGGGGGTGGCCCTCAGGCACATACGGGAAGGGGGTGCAAGCCCTGCCCCCTTCCGCATTCGGGCCCTGCAGGGGGGTCCAGTGGGGCTCTGTGTAGACCACAGCATCTGTGTTTAGGAGCCTGCCACGTCCGTTTGGAGCTGCTTCCAACTTTGCCAAACTGCAGCCTTTCAGGCTGAAATCGTCCACAGCAGCAGCAGTCGGCCCCAGGCTGAATGTGGCTGGAAAGTTTCAGCCGCAGGCGGCCCCAGAGCCTGAGGCTAGGGGAAAATACCGTGGCCACATTCAGAATTCGGCACCCTTGTCTTTAAGACGCTCTAAAGCTCGCGCAGTTTGGAGCAGGGACTTGAAATTCGGCAGGGGGGCGGCTCTGGAGTCAGGGAGGGGCCTTTTGACGTCCCCCTTAAAATCCGCACTAATTTGGACAAACAAACAAATCGCAGCTCGCACGTGCCCGGTAGACTTCTTAGCAGCTAAATTCCCCCCAAGCTGAGCAGCACTGCAAGGGCACCTCGGAGCTGTGTCAGGTCCGCGCACCCCAGCGGAGGGCAGAGAGCCTCTCGCCTGCGCTCTCAGGGTACGTCTACACTGCGGCTGGGCACACGCCGCCCGAGCGGGACCTGAGCTAGCAAACCAGTGTGACCACGGAGGCTGGGGCTCTCAAGCCCAACTCAGCCCACCGCTGCAGCAGCTGCAGCACCCGCCCCGCTGGGTCTAGCGCAAGTGACTCCTGCTTGAGCCGCTCGACGCCTCTGCCGGAGTTGGGAAGCTTGCTCCCGGCTGCAGTGTAGACACACCCTGAACGACCCCCGGTGGCGGGGCCCCCGCAGCATGGAGGAGGCTGCCCAATGGATATGGAGAGGGGACAAGTGCCAGACCAGCAGGGGGAACGGACTGGCATAAGGAGCCAAAGGTGGGTGCCGATGGGGAGTGAAGGGCAAGTGGGACTGGGGCTTTGAGTAGACTAGAGGCCAGGGAGGGACGGGAAGTCAGTAGGGTGAGCAGGGGAAGATGGATATGGAGCTGGGGGTGCGGGGGACTGGCTGGGCAAGAAAACCGGTGCTGAGTCAGTGGGACAGGGAAAGGAGACAGATCTGACAAGGATGCAGGGGGAGAACTGGTATCAGCGGGGCGGAGACTGGGACAAGAAGCCTGCAAAGGGGGTGGGGGGGGCACAGCTTGGGACTGGGCGCCAGTGGGGAGGGGCCAGAGGGGGGCGGAGAGAACAGATGGAGGGGGAAGAGAGAACAGATAAGGAGCCAGGAGGAAGGGCAACTGGGACTGGCTGGGCAAGGAGCTGAGGGGCGAAGAGCCTGGGAGTTGGAGGCAGATTAGAATGGGCTGGTCACAGAGCCTGGGACTGTCATAAGAAGCCTGAGGAGTGGAGATTGGCTAGGCTAGGGGAGGAGAGTGGGACCAGGGGCAGAGAAGATCCAGACTGGAACAAGGCCAGTTTGGAAGGGACAGAGCAGGAGGAGTCAGGCCTGGGGGCAAAGTAAGTTGTGCCCACAATATTCCTCTCCCGCACCTGGAACCCAGGAGTCCCGAGTCTCACCGTTCCTCTGCTGTCCGCAAATAGCTGTAAAACCCACTGGCAGAGCACCCCATCCCCCTCTCATACTGGTCCACAGCGAGGATGACAACCTACTACTGCTATCAGTCGGTCCGTTAGCTCAAGCAGCAGAGGTCTGGGGCAGGATTTACAGGTTTCAACCCTGCTGATGATCCACAGGGGAGCCAATATGATTCCACATGCTGGAATTCCTGTTGGGTTTGTTTCCAGCTTGTTCTTATAAGACCCTAGGAAGTTACATACACACACACACAACTAGGTGCAAGGAACATGATTACGGTCGCAAATCAAAAGCTAGGAAATGCCCAAATGAAGGTTGCCTAGACAACCTTAATTCAGCCCCCAGTGTGTGTGCATTAGGATACGGTCTTTAAGGACACAGTCACAGACGATTATTTCTGCTGAGTCCCGTGGGGCTTGCTGCTACAGCAGGTACCGGCAGCCTGCAGGTGGCCGGTTTTCCAGGCTCTGACCCTCCTTGGAGAAGCGGGGCATCAGTGTGTTTTCTTGGCGACGGAGAGGACACAGGATGCAGCGGTCTGAGCGCCTGGCTTTAACGCCTTCCGAGGTCAGGGGAGCAGTGGCAGACCAGCCCCACCGTATCCTGCTTGAGCAGCTACATTGCTGACCACTACGCTGGCTAGACAGACACCTGCTAGCTCTGCCCACCCGCTCGTACTGTACCCATGCTGCCTCACCGGCCGCCATGACCACCCTGCCCCTTTTAGCACGAGACCTTGAGCAGAGATAGGATGTGGCTCCCAGGCTGGGAATTCACTCCGAGCTGTGGCGTAGACACCCCGCCAGTAGCTGGGGACACGATTCTCAATAAAGCGGCCGCTAGTTTTGGGTGCCCAATGCAATGCCCCTAGAGCTCTGTTTTCAGACTCCCAAGCCAAGCAAAGACAGCGGGAGCTGCAGGTGCTTGCTGCCTCTGAAAATCAGCCCCCAGGGTGCTTTAGGTACCCAAAGCTGGGCTGATTACACAATGTGAGCCCTAGGGGGTTGTGTATATAAGCAAAGGCTGGCACAGGGCAGGCCTGGCCCCTTGATCTCTGCCATAGCTGAAAACCTTGTTAACAGAACCAGCAACTCACAGAACCCCAGCTGCCGAGGCCAGTGGAGAACTGGACACGTGTGGATAGATGCGTGGGCGCAGAGTGCCACACTTGGTCCCAGGCCCAGGCTTTGCAGGTGTATAGCGCTTGGAGCATGGCATGGTCTGCGCCATCTCCGCTACCAGGTGTCTGAGGCTGCAGCTCTTCCCTCCCGCTGCCAGCACCCTGGGGTCCCCCTTAGAGACGCCCACCACCAGCAAGGACAGATCAGCCACTTTTGAACGGGGCCGCAGAGCCATAGGGCAGCGCTGCCATCTCGGGGGGGAGGGGGTGTGTGTGTGTCAGGCACGGGGGGCTGGTACGGGCTCCCCAAAAGCAAGAAAGACAAACTTCAAAGTCACCTCAACAAGCATTATCTATTCCTGAAAAACAACAGCTGCCTAGGTTCCCCCCCCACCCCCCCAGCAGCAACCGGGGCCATCGCCAGCGAGAGAGAAAGGGAAACGCTACCAGCAGCTGCTGGTTGCCGTGGTGACAGAGGACGTCGTTCTGCGTTTGCTAGGCTTGCCCCACATGCATCTCAAACACACCATGCTGGCATGGGGGGAGGAAGCACTCACGCTCCCCCCGCCCCCCCAACCACACCCCCGCCCCAGCCGGTTGGCGGCTGGCTGTTTGCAAACAGCGCGAGGATAAAGGGGTGGCCGGACGTCACTCGTGGGAACAGGCAGAGGGGGAAGCCCAGGCTCGGCCCCCGCGCTAGCTGGCTACACACAGAGGCGCTGGCCTTGGCCTCACGATCCCAAGCGTGGATGTGATCTTCCCTTTCGCGCCGGGCGTCGTCAAAACTGCACGGCCCCCGGGGAGATGTTGAACATGGCGGGGTCGAACTTCTGGCCCCGGAACGGGGAGCCTTCTACGTCCCAGCCCTTCTTCAGCATCTCGTGCACCTTCTGAAAACGCAACGCACTTGAGTCAAGTCTACGGAGGAAATACACAGCTGACGGAGACACGGTCCCACCACCCAGGCTGGTCTCAATGCCCCACCGGTCTCTGCCATTCCCTAGCCGGGGTCACCACCCCTTTGCCTCAATCAAGTGCCTCACAACCCTCAGGCTTGTTCAGCTGTCTCCAAGGAACGAGTTTAAGGAACCCCCCAGGTCAGCTCCACGCCTGGCCTTCCCAGCAGCCTGCAGACTCAGGGAGTGGCTCAGCTCAGGGGCTGTGCCAAAGAACAGAGAACCACGAGGTCCCCGCTCATTTCCCAGAGAGCTTTGCATGTCAACACCAAGCTGAAAGGTGCTTCCTGCTTTGGTCTCTCCGCCTCACAGAGCCACCGGGCTGGGCTCCCGAGCAACGAGAGGGAGTCACATGACAGACCTGCACCCAAGCCCTGCCCTGGGGCAGCGAGATGGCGCTCAAACAGCTCCCCGAGCTGCTCCCCCACCGCTCCCCCTAAAAGCCACCCTGCTGGGCCACTGTTGCTATGGGAGAGTGAGCGGGAGCCTACTCTGCCCTGGTGGCTGCTTGCTCGCAGCAGGGTCCAGGCCACTGGGAGAAGCCAGCTTTGCTTTCTGGTGATGCAAAGCCACAGGCCAGCCGATGGAGTCAAGGCTCCCGGGATATTGGGGGAAGGCAGCAGAAGTGACATGTCCCTTTTCACCTCCAGATGGCAGGACACGGACCGTTCCTGGCCACCCTCAGCAATCTTGGCTGTTTCAGCTGCAGGCTCAGCTACTGGAGCGTGCTCTACGCCGGGCTGCGGCTCAGAGACAGCAGAGGCCAGGCTGGCCATTACCCGCTTGCTTCTGGGTGCAGCTCAGCTGGTTAAGAATGAAAGATCTCGGACCTGCATACTGGGCGACTGCCTCTCCCCCACTCCCGGCCGCGAGGGACCAGACCCCCTCTTCCTGTCGGTCCTTGACCAGCCCTCTCCAGAATGGCCGGCAGGGCTCTCAGAGGACTGCGGGCTATGGAACGCATGCCGGCTGGGCTGCGAGGGCTGGGAGTTGGCGACTTGCAGGGTATGGAGTAAGGCTCGCCTACACAGGAGGGCATGGGAGAGGCGTGTGGGGAAAATGATGCTTGCTGAGGTCCAACGGGGGGGGGGGGGGTGTGTGTGATGGAGGAGTCAGCATTGCCACACAGGACACAACGTCCAGGCAGCAAATGGCAAGAGGGTGGTGCTCAGTTCCCCGGAGATGGCTCATGGAGTGGGATCCATTAGGGGCAGAGCAGCTGGGGCCCTTCAGGAAGCCAGGGTAGGTCTACAGCTCCAGCAGTCACGCTGGGCAAGAGGAGGGATAGCGTTTGCTGCTAAGTCCCTACTCAGTCCAGCCAGGCACAGCCATCCCCTAGTGCTTGGGCGCAGTGTCAGAATCAAGCCATCAGCAAGGATCTGCCCGGCCAGCTGACATCCTGCTTCCCCGCAAGCTGCAAAGGACCTACCAGCTCATGGCTCTGGGGCTTGCCCTGCAGTTTCTGGTGGTAGTCGAAGGTCAGTCTGTCCAGCACGGCATGCTCCTCTTCGTCCACCGTGGCCATTGAACGCTCCTTGTTGATCTTATCGATGTCGATCGGCTCCTCTCCCTCCAGGATGGCACTCCACCAGTACTCCCCCACCTTGTTCAGGTTGATCTGGGGACAAAGACAGGCCAAAAGCACCGTCAGCCCAGCAAGCACGAGACAAGGTGCAGCCAGCCAGCCAGGCCTGGGCCCAGAGTGGAGCCCAGTCCAGGAGTCACTACTCTAGGCGAGGCATGAGCAAGCTAGGCAAGAAATGAGGTCTCCCCACGGAGCAGGGGCAGCCCAGTTTGCCCAGAAGCAGCCCTATAAAAGCTCCTCAATGGTGTTTCACTGGCCAGGTTTTCACCCCAGTGAATCAACAGGCTGGCAGCTCCCAGTCAAGGGGGCGGAATAAATATAGAGCAACAGATGCTCTGCTGCAACCAGATATGCACAAGGAAATAAAATTAAATGATTGTTCTGAACCGCCCTGGCCCCCGGAAATCTTCGGGCTAAACTACATTTATCACCCACCTCTGACTCCTTCACCTGCACTCTGCCCACTAACCCACTACCGTGGGGCTACTGCTGGTATCCCAAACAGCTCAGTGGCTGCAGACCAAACCCAGCCCACTCCATGTACCTGATTTCCTTCTTTCCCTCCCGAACACTGAATTTAGCTCCCAAAGATAGACTAGCCCAAGGCTCAGGAGGAGGAATACTTGGCATTTTACAATGGTCCCCGAGGGTTCGAAATAGTTACTATATACAGCTAGAAAAGAGAGACTCTAGCTTTCCAGTGGGGGTCACAGGACAACGGATTCGCGCCCCGGCCATTAACACCACATTTATGTACTGAAAAGCTGCTTACATCATTTTGAGATGGTGCATGTTTTCTTTGCTGTCGAGTTGCCTTGTGGGAACTCTCAGCACCATGCGGAGAAGATGAAGGCTTTATGGGCACTCACTTGGGGTGGGGGTGGGGGGATGACTGTTGTCATGAGTTATGTGCCCATCCCAAGTCTTTACACCCTCCCACATCAACAACTATTCACTGTGCGGCTTCTGCTCAACCATCACTGCACCAGCTGGAGCCCTGCCCACTGAAGGGGATGTTCCCCCTGCTAGCAAGAAGCAGTGCCCTGGCGGACATTTTACCATGCCAGCGAAGGCTGCCATCCAGCCTGGCCAGTGAAACGCCCTTGAGGAGCTTTTATAGGGCTGCTTCTGGGCAAGCTGGGCTGCCCCGGCTCCTACAGGCACTGATGCTCCATGGGGAGACCTCATTTCTTGCCTAGCTTGCTCATGCCTCGCCTAGACATGCACGGCTGCCAGGGTGTGCCCCCCATTATGTGCTGCCACAGAGGGAAAGGGATTTACCAGGCTATGCACTACCACATATCCCAGGAGAGCTGGGTCGGGGGAGACCTCTGCCTCATTCACTCTTCCTTCAGACGCGACCTAATCCAGGATTCTGGTTCTCTGCACTGGATCTACTCGGAGTTCCTCTCTCTTTCCTTCTACACCCTTAATACTAGTATTTCCGTTTTATGAAGAGAACTAAGGCACAGAGCGGGGACCAGATTTACCCAACATCACGCTGAGTTAGTGACCGCGATGGGAGTGGAACCCTAGAGTCCTGGTTCTCGCCATTAGGTAATGCTCCCCCACCCATGTGGGCCTCTGACAGTGTAGATCTGTGGGGGGGGGATTCGCTCTAACCATTCCAGATTCTCTCTGCATCCCAGCCCACACGTAGGAAAGCGAACGGAGGGGCTGGCTTGCACATGCCCTTTAACGGGGAGTGGTGTCTCCCTTCACACACAATGCCAGTCGGTTCTAATGACAAGTTGGTGGGTTGCTTGACTCCACATGGTGAGTTTTTTAACCTGTCCCTCCACAGCAATTCTTAATGACCAACCCTCCCCACCTCAGGGCCAGCTGGTTTTGCAGCCAAGCAGTGCAGGACATCTAGGATTCTCATTCATAGGATCTCCTTCAAAGAGGCTTGGGGCTAGCAGTCTCCCCCCTAACCACACTCTGAGCACGGCAGGTGTCTCTCTGGAGAGCCAGCTCAGCATGCCCCCCGTCCAGTCCAACAGACGCATCAAAACATGAATTAAGAAATGGCTTGAGAACTCGGGGGCACAGCTGGAGCTTCCTGATTGGCTGGCAGTGATGTCATCCCCAGGTCTGTGAGGCCAATAATTCTCAGGCCCTGACGTTTATTTGAATGGATAGATTCCATTTCATAACCGCCGGGACGCGAGGCCGTGCGTTTCACAGCCACCGCTGAACTGGGAACGGCTTCAATGCCTGCCGTCGCGGTGCAGCCCCACCTGAGGTGGGCCAGAACCACCTGGCAATGGGGTTATGTCAGGCAAAGGCTGGAGTGCTGATAAAAGACAACCGTGTGTTGACAGGACTGAGCGAGGAGGAATCGCCTCTAGCCGCCCACAGGCTCAGAGCGGCGGGACCTGTCAGACACCCCCTTGATTAAGGGATTCAGACCCTCTCCGAGCCAGCTGACGACTCTGCTCATGTGCAGCCCAGAGAGGAGCCCTCAGCGTGGAGATTTCACATTTCACTAACCCAGAAAAGAGACTCCTGCCTCAACTCCCTCCCATGCATGAGCGGGGGCGGGGAGGAGGCTGAAATGTCACACGCTTTTAGCTGCCGCCCCTGCTCGGTGGGAGTGCCTGCCCCTGTGTGTGTGATGCAGAATCTCCTCTGTGACAGGAGACGGGGCCAGGCGTGCGTCTGAAGGAACGGCAAGCAGGCGGGGAAAACAGCGCCATGTGAAGAAAGTCACCAACTTCAGAGACAGCCCCAGCAGCTCTGCCGACAGCCAGCAGAACAGGGGTGAGGGCCTGCTATGGCCTGGGCTGTACTCATGCCTGGGGGGGGGACAACACAGCAGAGCCAGGTGAGGGAGAAATGTACGAGTGTAAACATCACATTTAGACAAACATGGAAGCAGGAGTGGGGAATCCGATGCAGACAGGAGCTCCTAGTAGTCAGCATTTCTCTTGCTCACTGTGCTGGGCCAGCCAAGATGGTTTTTTCCCAGTGTGTTTTTTATTTTAACAATAATCTCAGCGGTGAAGAAGATATATGGTGTGCATTGGCACCTCTGCAAGATCATCAATAAAGTCAGACAATACCATTTAGTCAATGCTCTCAACAGCTCCGGTGGGGAAACATGGGCAGAAGCGAACAGCTATTAAAGTTATGAAGCAAGGAGATTTTCTCCCGAGCAAAGAAAAGAAGCCGGTTAACAAAGGAGAGGATGGCGGGGGCATTTTGGGATCAAGCCCTCTGGGCAAGGGGAGCCAGGAAAATATTCCAACACAGATAGCACTGGTGATTCCAGCCAAACTGGCCCATTCCTTCTCCTGGTCATTGCACGGTTTGGCTTTAGAGACAGAGGAAAGACTGCCGAACTGTAAGCCACAGGCGCGTCAACCTGCAGGTGACTAAGCAGGGTACAGCTGGACTCTCCCTTCCATTAGGGATCTCTGCATTTAGGAGCAGCAATCAGGGCCTGGTGTAGTCCACCGCCATGGCGTCTGCTGCAGAACCATGCTCCAGAACCTAAGCTTTTATGATTAGTCTTTAATTACACGTGCAAGTACTGTTTTTTCCCACAGCACCCCTGCCTCATTCGGCAGGATGGACGGTGCTCACTTACTGAGCAGCTAACCAATATTTCGTTTTATCTCTACCGTCCAGGCCCTATTTACGGCACACGGGTCAAACCCTGCTCAGAAGGCAAAATTCTTAATTTCCTCCTGGACGTTTCTATGGCGCTCCTCACTCCAGTAGCTGAAGGGTCCACAGACACCAATGAACTGAACTTCACGTGTGTGCACGCATGGGGCATTATCCCCATTTTACAGAGGGGGAACTGAGGCACAGAGAGATTAAGGAAAAGAGTGTCCATTCGTTACAGGTGCCCAATTTGAGGTGTCTATGGCACAAAAGGAGTAGGCATTATAGAACATGTCATACGTGCCAAGCACAGCTCCTAACGACTTCAGTTGCAGCTGTGAGTGCTCAGGACTCCTGCGAATCAGACCCCAGCATCTCAAGTTGGGCACCTGGAAGATGAGGAACACAGGCAGTGACCTGCAGTGAAAAGCTGGGAGTAAGTGACTTGCCCAGCCTCACATAGGAATGCTGTGGCAGGGGCAGGGATTAATTCATCTCTACAAGGCAGTGTTCAACTGCCAAAACCACAAGGCCAGGCTTTATTCCTGCAGTCGCCTGCTCCACTCACTACACACCTTCCAATTTCTGCAAGAAGTGAGGCGGGGTCCTAAACCGTTTTCTTTCTGAGGCCCCCCACCACCACCACCACGCTATACAACTCTATGGCCCAGCGGGGGTGGGGAGGACCTCGGGTATAGGCATCATTTGACTTCTATTTTGGGGGGACAGAGGCTAGTGGGGCTCGAGCCAGCTCTGCACGGTGGGGTGCAGAGAGGGAGTGTCACCTCCACCCCCAGACTCACTTAAGCAGGCCACCCAGCCTGTCTGGGTTGAGGGGTGGGTAACCAAAAATTATAACTCAAAGGTGGAGGGGCTTAGCACAAAAAAGTTTGAAAACAGTTTAGGGTGCAGGCAGGGGGGTAGCAAGGGGCTGTGTGCAGACAGGGGGTAGTTCAAGGTGCAGGGAGGGCATAGCTGGGGCTATGGGAGGGCAGGGGGGGTACTCAGGGTGCAGAGAGGGGGTAGCTTAGGGTGTAGGGAGAGGGGTATTAGGGGCTGTGTGCTGGGAGGGTTCCCCTGGGGTCCCTGTTCCCAGAGGGGTCTGCCAGCCACGGAGCTCCTACCAGCTGCCTCTGTGGGAGCACAGGGGGCTGGGAGCTGAGGAGCAGCTTGAACCCGGGACACCAGCAGGAGACAAGGGAACGCTGCGGCTGCCTGCTCCATGGCACCAGCTTCCCGCCTCCAACCTGGCCAGGGGATGGGGAGAGGAGATGGGGGGAGGGGGGGTGGAGCTGCCCCAGGACTGCTGTGCTCTTGCGCTGCAGGGGTTTTTTTTGGGGGGGGGGCAGGGAGGGGGGGAGAAATGCCCTCCATGTTCCCAACTCTGCCCGGGGGCTCAGGGCTTCTGCCCAAGGGGGAGC